TCTGGGAGGCCAACAAAACAACCATGACCCACAAACCAATTCCGGAAACACTGGAATGGCCCTTTCTAGATTTCAATTTAACCTGACTTTGATTTTGTTCTTGATCCATTGCCAATGAGAGAACAATGTCTGGAGAACAATTATTGCCCAAAGACCACTCCAATTTGGCCCTTGCGAAAGAAACATTGATTCATTAAAAGTCATGTATTCAAGCTTAAAATTTAAAATGGTAATTATTTTATTAAGAATCAGTGAGATAGAGCTAAGAATCAGTGAGATAGAGCTATAGTGAGCAGACAAATTGGGTTTATCAAACCAGGTGCTAAAGGGGGAGACGGCTACCTGGAGAGTATAACATGATGAACGTATTGAACCCTAAGGAAATCCAAATCTACTGTGAAATCCCTTTCTGATTTGAATGCACCTTCGATTTAGCGCATAAGAAAGTTATAGAAAAGGTCACCTGTTTGGAGTCGCCGAAGGAAACAGAATAACGCCGGTGATGCGTCGGAAAGAGAATAACACTGATAGATCTATCATTCTCCTGATACATCTGTCATCCACCGATACATCATCTGTAATTGCTTTCATCTTTATATTAAAGAAACAAATAGAAGAGAGAGAAAGAAGCGTATGAATTAGGATAGACAAATCTGGTTTCAAAGTCCCATAAACGGAGAATTTCAGTGACGATGATCCATCGGAAGTGGGTTAAAGAGACGGAAATGAAACCTTGAATCGAGGGTCTAAAAGAAGAAGGTCTTTATTTATTGCTTTCACTCTGCCTCCATCGTTGTCTCTATTTCGTGCTTTGAAGTCCGGTCAATCTTCTCCACGCAGAAATCAGACCCTACATTCGATTAGCCTCATCTCCGATTACGGTGGCGTCTGCATTCGTCAGAGGTTGGAGATGGAAAGCGTTTTGAGAGAATGAAACCAACCACCATGTAAATGCGTACATGTTATCTACTGTTGATAAAGCCAGAAATCGAAGCCTGATTGGTCGATAAAACGGTGAGGCCACCTGTACACAAACAACCTACAAAATGACATAATGAAAAAAAAAGGCTCTAAAGACAAATACAGAAAATAGAAAGACCAAAGATAAAAGAAATGAGAAGTATAAGCAGAAGGGGTGAAATAGACAAAACAACTGCCACTTTACAAGTAGGAGAATTTTAATATATATATATATATATATATATATATATATATATATATATATATATATATATATATAATTGTTATGGTTTTAGTTCTGGTCTTTTTCTTTTACATAAATAGATTTTAAGTATAATGGTGTACTAATCATTTCTAATCACGTGGATTCAACCCCAATGAATAGAAGAGAGCGCGATACAGTTATTGGTCAAAACCTCACCAGTGACCGCTAACCGTAAATGCAATTAATCCATTTTCAAAACCGCTTTGTGCGGTTATTTTTGTGTTACGGTTTTTTTTTTCTTTGTAATAAAAAAAATCATAAGGTATAAGATAATTAACTTAAATCACAAACAAGGAATATCTATAAAACGTCAAAATCACTAGTAATTAATAATAAATATCTTAAAATTATCGAATTTCACCATTTTTCAAAATTAAACATAACAAAAAACCAACAGTTTTGTCTTCTAAAATTTTTTTTATTGATTTTCAATTCTGGTTTTTTTCAACATTTTATTACATATAATTTTCATGGATTTGTTTAAAGTTGAATTTTTATTGATTTTCAGTTATTTTTTTTTCTTTTACATAAATAGATTTTAAGTATAATGGCATACTAATCATTTCGTATAATGTGGATTCAACCCTATTAAATAGGAGTGAACGCGATGCAGTTATTGGCCAAAACTTCACCACTAATCACAAATGCGGTTAATCGATTTTCAAAACCGCTTGGTGCGATTATTTTTGCGGTGCGGTTTTTTTTTTTGTAATAAAAAAAAACCATAAGGTATAAGACAATTAGCTTTAATCACAAACAACTAATATCTTAAAAACGTCAAATCACTAGTAATTACAATAAATATATTAAATTGTCGAATTTCATCATTTTCTAAAGTTAAACATAACAAAAAACCAACATTTTTATCTTCTAAATTTTTTTTATTGATTTTCAGTTCTGGTTTTTTCACCATTTTCTTACATATATTTTTTCACGGATTTGTTTAAAGTTGAATTTTTATTGATTTTTAGTTCTGGTTTTTTTCTTTTACATAAATAGATTTTAAGTATAATGGGGTACTAATCATTTTGTGTCATGTGGATTCAACCCCAATGAATAGGAGTGAGCGTGATGCGGTTATTGGTCAAAACATCACCACTAACCGCAAATACGGTTAATCCATTTTCAAAACCGCTTGATGTTGTTATTTTTGCGGTGCGGTTAGGTGGTTATTTTTACAGTGTGGTTTTTTTTTTGTAATAATAAAAAAATTCATAAGGTATAAGAAAATTAACTTAAATCGCAAACAACTAATATCTTAAAAACATCAAATCATTAGTAATTAACAATAAATATCTTAAAATTGTCGAATTTCACCATTTTCCAAAGTTAAACATAACAAAAAAAAAAAACAACAGTTTTGTCTTCTAGAATTTATCATTCTTTCATCCATGAAACTTGTCATTTAAACTTGTCTAAAAACTCTTTTCATTTCAATTTTAAGATATATAGAATTAAAATTAGTCATTTGAAAGTTTTACATTTATTTAGTTAGGAGGTGTTGGTATTAATTCAAACTATTTGTTCTTAACTTCTATTTCAAAACCCTAATAAATACTTGTTTTTAAACTATAAACACACAATCCCTATTGAATCTCGTTACAATATCCCTAATATATATGTGCCAAACGCAACCAAAACATCATAGCGGTGTTGTCGATGAGACCATCTAAAGCCACAGATCGGTAGTCAAACGCTCTAAATATACAAAAAAAACACCCAAACTCTTTTTGGTCTCTATCTAACAAATATGGGATAATTCTTGTAGACCGAGAAATTCTTGTTGCGAACCTTTAGACTGTGTTATACTCTTCATTCAACCTTTACCGTATTATGCCACATCACTCTCCTACTCATTTTAACACCCTCTTTCAAACCATGTTATATGTATCTTTCACATTTCAATAGCAATGCACAAGTAAATACAACACAATGTACAATATAAATGAGAGAGAGAGAGAGAGAGAGAGAGAGAGAGAGAGAGAGAGAGAGAGAGAGAGAGAGAGAGAGAGAGAGAGAGAGAGAGAGAGAGAGAGAGAGAGAGAGACGAGATGGGATGATTCAACAACGGGAAGATGCCAGGAGGGTGGCGCCCTTGCATGTTGTCCATGTTGGATCCCTGCTCCCCAGTGGCATAGGTAAAGACGGAGAAGGTAGGTCCTAGGGCCTACCTTTTTTCTCGAATGTATTAAGTATGTATAAAAAAATAAGGACCTACCTTATCTTTATCAAAGAAACTACCTAGTTTTTTTTGGCAATTTTTTTTGATCAAAAGTCCATATCTTTCATATTTAACAGCCCACATCTACTAATCAATAGCCTTATCATCCAATGATCCATTAAAAGGAAAATAAGATATAGAAAATAAAAAACCGAACGTCGCATACTATCTCGTTCTCGGCTTCTCGTTGTCCACATGTCCCATGTTCCAAAATCGATCATCATCCACCGGTCGTCGGCTGCTCCGGTCGTCGTCCGGCCTGGCCGCCGACGTCGACTTCCACCGGTCGTCCAACGACTGCCAACAACAGTCCAACCCGTCAGTTTCTTCTCCCTCAACACTCAGTCAACGACCTCATTTCAAGTTTGTAAGTTGTAAGTTTCAAATTACATAATTTCTTTTTGTTCGAAATCGAAACCCTTTGTGGCTTTGTATGGTTAATGATTGTATAATATATATATATATATATATATATATATATATATATATATATATATATATATATATCAAGTACACAATAACAACTCTAAATAAATTTTGAAATTGATTGTATATCAAATAGTAACATAAAAAATTCTAAAATCTGATCAATAGGTGAATGAAAATGATATATATATATATATATATATATATATATATATATATATATATATATATATATAAAATGTTAACATTGTTCAATGTTCAGTTGTTATTATTTATTTAGAGTTGTCAATTTGATATAAGAAGATTCAATTTCATAATTCAATTTTAGAATAAGAATCAAGATTCAATCCTTCAAAAATGTCTTTGCATAAGTTTTATAAAAAGAAAGAAGATGGCTATCAACAACAATTCAATTTTAGAATCAAGAATCAAGATTCAATCCTTCAAGAATGTCTTTGCATAAGTTTTATAAAAGAAAAAAGATGGCTAACAACAACATAAGTATACGAAGGTTGATTTTAAACTCACTACCTGTTGATCCACTTGAACGACCAAGTATAGAACCCGACGCGCCATACAACCTAACCCTCCACCACTAGCATTTTTTATACTTTCATATTTTTTAGTTGCATTTACATAATAAACCACGTGGTTTTTAGTTCAAGATTCGCCGCTCCCCATAAAGGAGAGTATTATAACACACGGCCTTGGTAGCTACTTTCAAAAATTTAGACATTCCGATAAAGGGAATAACCCGTGATTCAATAGTTCAATTTTCAGGCTATTTTGTGATTAACCTTTGTTTATGTGGCCTAACTAAAGCTCAAAATAACTTCCGTCCGGAAGGAATAAAAACAATGCTGGATTGAATCATTATACCTCGGTCTCTGGGGCATTTGATCAAACACATTATCTTCGTTTCTATCATGAACTATTGAATTTATTAAATTGGAATCGAGCGCCTCGAAGAGGTATTCATTTGATCAGACATAGGTGAGTTTACATCACAATTAAACAAAATAGCACAAACCCTCATAGGAAATCCAACCAACATTGAACCAACTTAATTTCCAGTAGTCGAATCGTAAACAATACAATGATAAACAAAAATCAACAAACCTTCTCACTCTAAACTTGCGAAGAAGAATCAGATTCCAACGGGATTCCAACGTCCTGTGGCGCGACCTCTTTTGACTGCTTGGCTGTCCTCTTGGGAACCGGAATAGCGAGAAAAGTTTTCTTCTTACTAATAGGTTTACACTTTTCAAGCTGAACCAAATCCCCAATTTGGAATTGATTTTCAGGGTCATGAGCTTGGAACTTCTTCTTCTTCCTGACTCTGCGCTTGTATTTTGGGTGAGGCGCGAGACGAGTCACTTCAACATTCACTGTCTTATCATTGGTGGTGCAGATTACGCGGCCTTGGAGAGATCTCATGGCGCGAATTGGGGGGAGATAAGCGTGGCGCTGGTGGTGGTGGTTGGAGGTGGAGGAGGAGGGTTTGGTGGAGACGACGGAGTTGCCATGGAGGAAAGGGGTTGAAAGATTGAGGGATTTGAACTGGGAGAGAGGGAGTTGAAGTTGGAGGAGAGACATGGCTCACTGGATAAGAGTGGAAGAAGATGATGATATTTAGGGATTGGGTATTTGTGTTCTGGTGCTTCGCGCCTACTTTTGTAAAGAAGTTCGTTTTAATAAGATCGTAACACGTAAGCACGCATGCCTGCAAAACCGTTGATTATACTTACCAAAGCTGATTAGAATTTAAGGGTAATTGCTACATGTTACAAATGAAATGACTCAATGATATTGAGCCAAGCTCGAGCTCCATAGGTAGTGTGATACAAACTCAAAACTTGATTTTATTTCCATATATCTCCCACTTAGAAAAATCATTTTCTAATCACTTGTCTTATGGAATGACAGTTAGTGGGATTAGTAGAAACTTCATCCTAAACAATCATTTAGGATATTCTACATAAATGCAATTAGTAGATACTAAAGTGGTTAAGCTTATTGTCTAACATGAGCTCAACGAATCCATACCTTTTAGATAAGGATAAACCATCTCATCCTTAGTCTAATATAAGTATCTAATCCACTTGTTTGGTTGGAATATATATTCAATATATATTTGTTACAGTGAACATAATTCCAAAAAATTTATAAAGTAATTATTTCTCTTAAAACATCATATAATAGACTGAAAGGTCTATCATTATCCTCTTCAAAAACTTGTACTATCAACATTCAACCAGTAGCCAGGTGACCCTATCCCAATAGAGAATTCAAAGGCTACCTTGAATATCAAAAGATAGATTCAAGTGACCAGGTGATCATGTGCTACAAGAAACATACTAATGACAAGTGAGTGTCTTTGTCGGAATGAGTTGTGAATCAATTCCACAACTCCTAAGATGTTCAAGAAGACTTTGTTTACAAAACTCATTTTCTTTATCACAACGAAAGGTTAGTGATGGTCTCATTAAGTCGTATTTCAATCTTCACTATGAAACAATTTGAGTAAATCAAAGGTTTCAACAATAACGAATAAAAGTTGTCAGTGAAATTGAATAAACATCTTTCACCAAATCTATTAATGGATTGAAAAAGACTACATACATCACTTATGTATAACTCTTTGTCAAGCCTTTTGTTCTTTAACTACTAATAGAAAAAGACATTTGTGAATCATCTTCCCAAATAAATAGGATTCACATATATCAAATGAATCAAGCTCATTTGCCTTAAAAAATCCATCTTTTTGAAGTTGGTATATGTATTTCTTATATATATTGTCATGATGATTATGACATAGATAAGTTCCAATCAAATATCATTTGATTATATAGGTGTTATGATAAGAACTATTAACTTAATGAAAGATTATAGATTTACTTCATAAATAACATTATGAGAAAATATTCTTTAACATAGAATACATCGCTTCAGAACATGAATGTGAACATACATTAAACGATAAGTAAATCTAGATTTATTCATAAATTACAACTGTTACATGTCCCTATAAGGATAGGCACAATACATCTATTGTTTAAATAAAAGACTATAACAACACTTGTTATATCTTCAACACGAAATACCATTCGTTTGTAATCAGTTGATTATTTCTTCCAATCATCAACACATAATATCAATTATTAGTGTCACATGAAGTATTACATACTCAAGTAAATGATGGAAAAATAAATAGTTCTATCATATAGACATCTGAAGTCTTGTCCAAGTCAAACTTCTTCTGTTCGATGAGATGATAGGAGTAATTCCTCCTTTAGTGTCTAGTTTCTTCCACAATAGAAACAACACTAATCATTTGGTCCTTTCTTGATTTCTGGGTTTATGTTGTATTTCCCTTAAATGAACTATAAGTCTATATGAGTGCACAATCTCTTAGACTTCCTTTTATTCAATGCTTGAACAGACTTGAAGCTATTTCTAGTGTTCTGATTGAATATCTACTTTACTTGATGAGACATCTGATATGTTTCATAATTATCCAAAACTTTCTGCAAGTCAAGGTTAATTTCTCCAGTATGATGTGAGACACATCAATATCATCATAATTATACTTTCTTCAAAGCATCATGATCAGACTAACTAGTTGCAGAGGTTATTCAGGTATGAGATGTTCAGTATATATAATTTCTATTTATCTTAAAGGTAGAACATCAAAATAGTATACCAGTTATAGAAATTATAAACATCAAATGTTACTGTCTCTTGAAACTTAACAAGAGAGAGAGATTTTGTAGCGCGTAAAATTATTAACAGTTATCAACAGAATTTAACAAAGTTTCATTTAGTATTTTCAATATTTAGTCTTTAAAAATTAATACCTTATATTGTATCTTAAAACATTAATTTATTAAATTCTAGGATCCAAGTAACGAAACAAGTAAATGGTTAGGCGACCATTATCCCATAAACTTAATCAAACTCGGTAGGTAGCGATTACCAATTGCATACGATATGTAACTCCTAGATTATGGGATCCTAAAAAACTATTGTTTAGTTTGGCATGTTTATCCCATCTATGCCTCAAAACTCTTATACTTATGTGACCTTTATCATATAAGAATTTGATCAAATCATCCATTTAAAAAACATGTGAGTTCTATTTCACAAATGGTTAGGTGACCTTTATCCCATATGCAAATACAAAAACACCTTGAATATTTTTGACAACTCAAATGAATAAGGTGACCCTAAATCCATATGAACTACACAAAAATCCCAAATGAATTTTAAATGGATTGCATAGATTTGAAGAGTTGTAAATAACGGTTTATATATATATATATATATATATATATATATATATATATATATATATATATATGTTTTACAATTATAGTTTATAAAAACATGGTCTCATGAATATTGCATGCATCCAACAATTCATGTACCCTTTTGTAAAATTCATATCACTTGTTATGAGGTTCTTTAGGTGCCAAATAAAACTTCATTTTATTTGCAATTAACCGCGATCAATTATAAACTAAAATCCGGTATTTTAAAGTTTAATCGTAGATCGGTTTTAAGAACCAGTAACAGTCTTAATAAAACTTTATTTTATACTGAAGACTTGGAGTTTTGGATGAGTTATAAAATCACTATTTTAAACTTCCTTTTAACAATCAAATAACTTATGACTTCTGATGGGAATAAAGCGCTATAGATCGATAGATTCTAAACAGAAAAACAATATTAATCGAGTAAAGAACACAAGAATGGATCAAATAGTGTCGAATGATTAATATCTCACACCTCAGAAAAGCTCGATGAAGAACTTCGACTGTAGAGGTGTGCTAGGGTTACAATGCAAAAGCTATTAATGAGAACGATGATCTTAAAGCTATACATGCATGCATAATATATAATCTAACCCTAATGAAAAACCACGGTTGGACAGGCCCGAACCGGGTAAACAAAATGGACTAACAAACGAGCCCGAAGACGCAACACTTAAACCCAACCAGGCTCTGATACCACTCAAGTAGCTAAAGTAACACGATCAAATGTTTGTAAAGAAACATTGAAATGCATCTTTTCAATTATAGACATCTTTTCAATTATAGGCTTTAGTGGGTAGTTTATCTTCAACCGAACATCGATACATAAAATAAGACCGAAAAATGGATGAATTACTTGTGAGACCGATGTGGTTTGTTGAACAAGTAGGTTGGAGAATATAGACAGTGACTGGATAATAATAAGAAATCTCAAAAACAAAAAAGAAACTGGATCTTATGGGAAGAAACGTCCTGGTGTTAGACAGTTTCATAAAGATCACACAAAAATAAAATGAGATTTCGTGATGTAACAAGTAACAGCTTGAACATTTTAGCGTTCACCGTCAATTCATTCAAGGTGTTGGATTTTGGGTCTCACTTAGCACGTGGTAAACGAAACTAAGATCATCAACACAGAGATTGTGTAACCATAAACCTCAGTGGTAATTGCTGAGAGTCTCAAGAGTTACTTTTATGAAGCGAAACTTAATGGAGAAATGTGAGGAGATGGTGAAGGAACCGAAAGTACCTCTGCTACATAAGAATGACAAAGCAGAAAACTCTTAACTCACTATGAGAAGAGTAAGGTAGCTCGTGACTTGAGTGATTTTAGCAGCCTGATTAGGAAGAAACGATTGGTGTTTATCGAATCATTAAGGCTTCACTCAGAGTCATGGAGGCTTCGGTCTACATGCAGCAACATGCTTCTAGGGACACTTAACTAGTACATAGATAAGAATGTTATACCTGCCCCCAACTTCATTGTGTTTCGCATCTGTGAACTTGAATCAATTTTGAGAATTGAGAGATAAAACTTAAAAACACATAGAAATATTTTTGTAGTTTTTGGATTTATCTGAAAAATAATAAAAACAGAAAAGAAAATATTTTTGGATTTTTGTAAATTCTGAAAAATAATAAAAACAGAAAAGAAAATATTTTTGGATTTTTGTAAATTCTGAAAAATAATAAAAACAGATAAGAAAATAAATACTAAATATAAACACACGAAAGAATAAGAGAGCTTTTCAAAAATATACAACCGAAACCATACCATAGAAAAGATGAAGCGAAATGGGTCGAGCGATCGGTTCAATTTGGTTCCAAAAAAATCCAGAGCCGAAATAGACCGAGCGTTCGATTCAAGAAAAATTCTAGAGCCGAAATAGACCGAGCGTTCGGTTCATTTCAGTTCCCGAAAAATTCGAGAGCCGAAATAGACCGAGCGTTTGGTTCATTTCGGTTCCCGAAAAATTCGAGAGTCGAAATAGACCGAGCGTTCGGTTCATTTCGGTTCCCGAAAAATTCGAGAGCCAAAATAGACCGAGCGTTCGGTTCATTTCGGTTCCCGAAAAATTCGAGAGCCAAAATAGACCGAGCGTTCGGTTCATTTCGGTTCCCGAAAAATTCGAGAGCCGAAATAGACCGAGCGTTCGCTCTATGTCGCTTGTTCATTTTTAGTGAGAAGAAAGGGGTTTCGGTACTGACTCAGCTTCCATCATTCCCAAGCCTTGGAGTATCTTGTTAAAGCTTGCTTCTGGTAAGGCCTTAGTGAAGATGTCA